CCACTGTATTCCTTCTATGTCTTGTTACTTTCTTGCCTGCTTTCTCTGACTTCATTGATTCTTTCACTTTTTTTCTTGCTCCCCAGATCTTTATTTTAATGTCTCGACTTAATTCTTTTTCCTTTTTTCATTGTTTCTTTCTCTCTACCCAACTCTTTTTTCATTCTCATTACAAAATTCATTTCTTTTTTTTCTTTCTCTCTATCTAATTTTTCTTTTTTTTTCATTCTCCCTACACAGTTCTTTTTTCTTTTTTGTAATTGTTACTTCCTCTCTTTCTTTCTCCCTTACTAAGGCTTCTGTTTTTCATTTTCATGCACAATTCTTTTTGTTTGTTTTTCTTTCTTTTTTATTATTTCTTTCTCAGTTTCTTTTTACCTATCTAATTCCTTTTTCATTCTCCCGACACAATTCTTTTTTTCACTGTTTCTTCCTCTGTTTCTCTCTCCCTACCAAATCATTCTTTTTTTCTTTCTCCCTACACAATTCTTTTACTTTTTTTCACTCTTTTCTTCTCTTTCTTTCTCCCTACCTGATACTTCTTTTTCTTTATTCTCTCTACACAATTCTTTTCCATTGTTTCTTCCTCTCTTTCTTTTTACCTATCTAATTTCTTTTTTCATTCCCCATACACAATTTTTTTCACCGTTTCTTCCTTTCTTTCTCTCTACAAAAATTATTCTTTTTTTCTGTCTCCCTACATAATTCTTTTACTTTTTTTTTCACTCTCTTCTCTTTCTTTCTCCCTACCTAATTCTTCTTTTTTTCATCCTCCCTACACAATTCATTTTCTTTCTTTCTTTTTCAACCTATTCATTTTATTTCGTTTCTTTCTTTCTTTCTTTCTTTCTTTCTTTCTTTATCTTCTCTATTTATTTATTCCTCTATTTATTGCCACCTTTCAAAATATAAACATCTTTAAGCGCAATGACGTTCAAAGACTAAATCACAACATGAAATTTCCCCACCAATCGACGTGCACGAAAACCTCTTTGATCCCTTAAAACCGTAAAGACATTTTAAGAACAAAAACAAAATTACGCCGTTCCACTCCGTGTGCAGCTTTTATACATTTCCTCTTTTCTACCAACGAAAAGCCGAAACCCAACCTTACCCAGCAAACCACAATGCATTATGTCCTTCAGATGTGAGCTCTTACACATTGACGTAAAAAGATATACGTTTATGGAGTTCCCTTTCTTTATCTCTCCTCCCTCTTCCTCGCTCTATTTCCCTTTCCTTCTCTCTCTCTCTCTCTATCCTACACTTATATTTCTTTCTCTCTCTCTCTCACTCTTTATTTCTTATTATCTCATCCCTTTTCCTACTAGCTTTATTTCATTTGTTTCTGACGTTCTGCCAACATACATATGTCATTATCTTTCTCTTTTCTTTCTTTTTTTTCACTCTATCTCTCCTCTATCTATCTATCTATATATATATATATATATATATATATATATATATATATATCTTTATACTCTTTTTCTCACATTCATTTCTTTTCTTTTCTCCTTCGCTCTCTTGTTTCATTGTTTTTTATCGTTCCCTCGTTCTTGCTTTTACTCTATCTCCGTATTTCTCGCTCTTATTTTCTTCTTACTTTCCTTTTTTCTTTCTTTTTTTCGTCTCTATCACGATGTCTCTCTCTTCTTTCTATAAAACTTGCTGTCCCCCTCCATCTCTCTCTCTCTCTCTCTCTTTCTTACATTTCTCTTTCTCTTTTTACTCTCGCTTTATTTTCTCTTCCCACCCTTTCTATCACTCTGTAACCTTATTTTCTTCTCTTCTTTCTTTATCACTCTTTCTTTATTTTCTCTACTTTTCTTTGTTTCTCTCTCTCTCTCTCTCTCTCTCTCTATCCCTCTCTCTCTCTCTCTCTTTCTCCCATTGTTACTCCCTCTTTCCGCTTTGTTCTCTAACATTCTAAGCCTATTTCTCCCATTTTATCTTTCTGTCTGAAATTCACTATTTCATCCATTTTCTTGTTTCTTTTTTTAATTCTCTTTCTCTTTTTCTATGTCTTTTTTTGCCAGTTTCCCGCTGTCTTCTTCTTCTGTCGTTCACACTTAAGACGTTTAGCCACCTTGACATCATTTGTTGTAAGAATCACTGAAAAAATTCTTTGATTTATTCAGCTAAAAACAGAACAGTTTAAAATTGTTTGGTGTCAGACAAACGTTCTTAACAACTGAGCAATGGTGAGAGGAAAAGATCATTCAGCCTTTATTAATTGTAACAACTTCATATTCTGGCTTGCATCTTCAAAGTCCATTCAAGAACCAGCAAGACAACGGGGAATAGGTTTAATAAAGAGTGAACAGTAGAGAGGAAAACTGTATCAGGAGGTCACAACAGCAAGAGGGGTCATCATTTCAACTTAAAGCTAAAGAGAGCAATTAGAAAAGATCCAACTCAATTCATAAGACGTTAGGCACGTGAGAGAAGAGTTTCAGCTATGATAGTCCAAAGAACAGTAGAAAAAACTTCAATATGAAATCGTACGTGAAAATGCATTTTGTTACTTCAGGAGAGAAAGTTAAAAGGTTAGAGCGGGCGAAGATCATCTTGAATACGTTGGAATATGATCCTGGGATAATATATATATATATTTGAATTTTATTTCAATCCTTCATGAGCTTCCGATCATTAGCTATGAATAATTAATGATGAACACGATGGTTTATGGTCGATTTCATCACAATTCTTCCGTTAAGCTTGGAGCGTAATTATACATTCTTATTGTTTATTTATTTATTTTCATTTTCACTTCTAGTCTGCTGGGAGAGCGAAATCCACTGGCAAGTTTTTTTTGTTCTTTTTTTTTTTTGCCTGTTTTTCTTCTTCCTGATAATTAGATCATGTTTCCTGGCCTGGCTTGGCCTGGTCTGGCCTGGTCAGCACGTTGGCGATTGCATTTCTTCACAATTTCCTGTTCTTTGTAGCTCTTAATAGATATCGTCTTTTGTGTTATTTTTCCTAAACATTGTTCCGTCATCCATTTACTTATGCTCGCTAGATACGTTTTTTAGGTGGTGTTTTTTTTCTGTAGATCATGACTTAAATCAATCCTGTGAGTAGCAAAATTCACAAGCACTCTTTCCTAATTATGTGCAATAAAAATTCATCTCTCTCTCTCTCTCTCTCTCTCTCTCTCTCTGACGTTAAGTATGAGTGTCCTTTTTGTTTCCATTTTCGTTAAAACTTCATCGTTGCTCACATGTTTGATCCATGGTATTCTCAGCATCCTTCTGTAGAACCACATTTCTCTTGATTCAAGTCTCTTCTTCATTTGTGACGAGACTGTCCAACATTCACTACCATATAGGACGACTGATATTAAGTAAAAGTTCAGTACTCTTTTTTCTTTTGTTTCGAACGATTTTTTTTTCTGATTCTTAATCCTTTGCTTAGCTTTTGAAAGGCATTTTTCACTATCCCAATTCACCTTCGGATTTTACTGTCTCACGTTCCAGCCTCCGCAAAAACACTTCTCAGATATTTAAATTATTATACTGGTTTGATTTAGGTATTTCTAATTTGTAATTTGCATGTTGGGCGAATAGTTTTCCTAACAACCAGGTATTCAGTCTTTTAATTGATGGTTAGCCATTTCGTCTCACTTTCCTTCACTACATTCTACAGAAGTTCTTCCTGTGCCTGCTACCAACACTTTGAATCACAACGACCCATGCCATGTTGTTTAAGCCTCTAAGACATTTTTTCTGTTAGTTGCATTATTATCATTATTATTATTAGTAGTAGTAGTAGTAGTAGTATTTGTATCTATAAAAAAGAATGTATAAACATAAAAATGTTTTAAAATAATTCTCGGACTTTGTCTATTTCATAATGTGTGACGTCATTTGTTTACATTTGAATACGCATTGAGCAGATATGAATGTACTTGTTAACCGAACGCTCCTCTGTGGCCAAATCGGTAAAAGCACGTCAGGCTCGATGACGGTTCCGTATAGGATACAGGTTCGATTCTTGTCGGACATTCAGGCCGGTAAATTTTGTTTATTATAAACAGAGCATTTACTAAAATATTTGTATCTATAAAAAGAACGTATAAACATAAAAATGTTTTAAAATATACATTCTCGCGTATAGCCTGCGATTTTACAACGACCTCTCAAAGTCAATAACCTTTTCATGTTATTAATAATTTCTTTCTGTCCATGTCTTTCTACCTTATCATTTCTTATATATTGTTGTTGGTGTTGTAAATTTTATTGTATTTATTCATAGTGTTTCAATCGGTCCATTTTCCGACCCACATTAAATAAAGCGTTCACCCAGGTCTGTTGCTGGTACCTCTCATTTACAAGGCCACGTGTTCCATTGTCCCGATTATTTATTCAACGCAATCCCGGTAGTTTTTGAGTTATGCTAATGCGAGGTTTGTTTTTTTTTTTTGTTTTTTTTTTCTTCATGTTTATTATTGAATGCAGAACAAATTAGCGGAAATATCATGAATAAAAACACTCCATAAAGATGAGAAATGAATCTCTTAAATGTAAATACATCTAAATTGTAAATGCAGTATATATGTCTTATAGATACAGACACACACAAACACATACGTACGTATATATATATATATATATATGTGTGTGTGTGTGTGTGTGTGTGTGTGTGTGTGTATGTGTGTATAATTGACTTTTAAGAATTTTGTTTAAAATTGAATACTGCAATCTCGCATGGGTATGTTACAAAAAGCATTTTCATAGCGTAATTACAAGACAGAGAAGTGGAAAATATTTTTACCCAAACATTTTCTGAAATTAATTGAAATAAAACTGTTTCCATGTCTACGTGTTTTGTATGAGATCAGCAAGGTGCTGAAAGATTGGGTGTGGTGAGAAAACAAAAAAACAGAGAGATCAAGTTATTGAGAGAGAGAGAGAGGTTAAGAAAGAGAGAGAAACAAATATACAGATAGAGGGAGAGAAGAAAATGCCGAAGAAAGATGGAGAGAAAAATAGAAAGTATATTTAAAATTTTGTATAGGTATCCGGAAAGAGAGAGACAAATCTAGTAGAGACGGAAGAACGCATGACAAAAAAGATAGATAGATAGATAGATAGATAGATAGATAGATAGATAGATAGATAGATAGATAGATAGATCAGAAAAGGTCTGAGATAGATAGATAGATAGATAGATAGATAGATAGATAGATAGATAGATAGATAGATCAGAAAAAGTCTGAGATAGATAGAGAGATAGATCATAAAAAGTCTGAGATAGATAGATAGATAGATAGATAGATAGATAGATAGATAGATAGATAGATAGATAGATAGATAATGTAAAGAAAAAAGGAATGAATGAAGTAAGAAAGAGTGAAAAGAAACAGTCGTTGGACAAGAAAGAAATAAAAGGAGAAAGTATGAGAACAAGAGAAAATGAAAAATTGGTAGTAAGTTAAAGAAAGTGTGAAAACAATACAGACGATTGAATAAGAAATAAACTAACCAAGCGAGAAAACGTAAGAAAGAAAGAAAGAAAGAAAGAAAGAAAGAAAGAAAGAAAGAAAGAAAGAAAGAGGGTAAATTTGATAAAAAATGAAAGAGAAAGACAGACGTGCGTAGACAGATAAATAACAAATTTAATCCGAGGAATGCCTTTTTAATATAAAAATCAATTGCTAAATCTGCTACTATGCAAGTTGATTCACCGTGTCATTCCTGACGAATGTTCTCGACAGAATCCATCTTGTACGTTTATAAATCTAGCATTCAATGATACTGCGACATCTAGCTTGGATCTCCTGTAATATATCTGGAGATTCTCGAGAAAAATACAAAGAAGAATATATAATATTATCGCTTCTGACCTAGCATCATAACTTCACTCACATTAAAACTGCCTTGAAGTGGCTTTGTATATATATATAATATATATATATATATATATATATATATATATATATATATATATATAATGGCAATATTTCTAATGAGATTTCTTCCTTGGTACCCCGAACGCATGAATTTAAGCGGATTACTAGATTGGCAGTTAGGTCTCATCATTTCACTATTTGAATTAAAAAAATGCAATCGTAAGTTCTATGCTAATATTTTTCTCACACATATCTCACCTGTGGAACTCTCTTCTAGCTTCTTGCTTGTCTGTCGTCTACTCTATTCAAAAATTTAAACGCAGCGTCAATCGCCATCTTTTGTCTTACTTAATTCAGTTCTTTTATTTCCCTTTCTCATCACTAACGTCTTTTCATTTTCTTTCACTCTCAGTAACCATTTCTCGTAGTGACTTCCTTGCTTGTATGAATATGTCCTGAAGATGGTCTATTAGACCGAAACGTCCGACGTTGACATTATATTAACATTAAAACAGCATAATTGCATATTAGGGTTTTTGTTTGTATTTTTTCCGTATATTTTTTTCATATATATATATATATATATATATATATATATATATATATATATAATCTTCAGACCATATATATATATATATATATATATATATATATATATATATATATATATATATGACCTGAAGATTCTGTTCATGGCTAAAACAGACTGTCGCGATTCACTTCTGACCTCAATGTCCAATCTAATATTTAGACACGCTCTATCCCTGATATGGAGCACATACTATTAAATATAGCATACCTTAAAACTATATATATATATATATATAGGCAGCATAATATCATTCATCATGGTTCGGTTAAATAATTTAAATGTAAATGTATTATGTCTATTTGTTTTAGTTTAAATCCTTTCAAGTCGACAAATTAATTTTTTGATGTCTGTAGAAAATTAATAAAAAAAAATTCTAAAATTTTATTTTATAACTTATATCTATCTAATACAAAGATACATCAGTAAAGAAGTGAGCCATAAAATCAAAACCCTGCGAGGGTGGAACGCAGAAACTGTAAGATAAAAATTACTACTAGACAGACAAACGCACACAATTACAAATACAAATATACATCAGCATTGGTTGCACACTCAAACATTCAAGAATCTTCAAGAACCGACGTGCATATAAAATTATAGAGGGTTTTAATTCACGTGGCACGTGTCGGACCAATGAAAAGTGACCCAATCATAATTGAAATTATCTGTTTTCTGTCTTTTTGACTGTTTTATCTCAAACTCTGACGAAGCTTTAATAAAACTGAAACATGTTAGATTGATATACCTTTCCAATTTGTTCATGTATTTTATACTGTCGGATTATGATCCATATTTGATCGACATTAATTCTTCAACTCATACATACATACACGCACACACACACATATATACATATATATACACATATATATACATATATGTATATATACATATACATATATATAGATACATATATATATACACACATATATATATACACATATATATACATATATATACACATATATACACATATAAACACACATATATATATACATATATATACATATACATACATATATATATATGTGTGTGTGTGTAGAAAATGTGATAGAAAAGGAGGAGGAGGATGTGAAGAAAAATGGGGAAGAAGTAGATGAAGGAGGTAAAGAAGGAAAGTAAGGGAATTATAAATATATTCGTGGTGGTGGTGGGGGGGGTAAATGAAATGTACAATCTTTTTTATCCAATCTCATATGAGCTTAAGAGGAATTTTTTTTTCGTATGTATGCGAGGACTCGTAGCCTCGATTTCTGGTTAACAAGGTTTTTTGGATCCGGAAATGTTACTATTGCTAATTTTTCTTGTTGGTAGAGGTTGCAAATATTATAGCGGTTATTATAAGTGTCCACCATTTTTAAAATTTTTAATGTTTCAATCGGATCCCTGCTGTTTTTTTCTTTTAAATTCCACACATGGTTAGCTAATTTGTTAGAGCTCCTAGGACTTAACTAGCTTGAATGACGACCCATGATTATGCTATCTACTTTTGAAAGTACCTTCAGCACATCTTATGTACGTTTTATTCTGGGCATTAATATCAGATACTTTATTGCTTCGGTTTTACAAGCTCCATTTAATGGATCTTTATTTTGTTTTCTGCAGTTGCATAAATTACTAGAGATAACTATATTTTGCTGTTTGTTTCTAAATTACTAGTGCAGTTATACAAACATATATATATATATATATATATATATATATATATATATATATAGAGAGAGAGAGAGAGAGAGACAGATAGAGACAGAGAGATTGATTGATCCTTTTTCTCCGGTTTATCAACCCTTTGCAGGTTATTTAAAGCCAGAAAATATTTTTAGCTTGTAAGAATTTCTTTTTTGCGGGGAGGTAATGATGATTCCGTGATACAAGTCTTACTAATTAACCCGTAGCTGGGAGGAAACGAGGTGGATTCATAGCTTTCTAAAAGGTATTTGCACATATTTGAATATAACGAACCCGACTCTAATTTGTAACTCAGCTCTGCGATTAACACTACCGAGCCATTATCCATTACACCACCCACACACCCAAGCTTACAGCACCTGGTATTCCCAACGAATTACCCATCTTGGTACTGAACAAGATAGACGTTGCTTAACTTCGGAGATCGTACGAGAACTGGCGTTTCAACATGATATGAACGTGTGCTCAAGAGAGAGAAATATGTGTGTGTATGTATCTGTGCGTGTGTTAGCGCAGTCTAAATTTTTCGAAAGACAGTCATATGCATATACATACACGAAAGCATGCTGAAAAGTTCTCGGCTCTGCCCACTTGAGCAAATCCGACAAAATAGCCAAACAGTTGATTTGATATCTTGGTTGGACTGAGAACTTTTCTTGACTCCTTCTTATCTATGTATCTATTTATTATCTCGTCTAAACTGGTTACCCATTGAATTCAAAAAATAACAGTTCTAATAATTTACCGGTTATCTTAAACTTTGCGGTATGACAGCAACCCCATATATATATATATATATATATATATATATATATATATATATATATATATGCACATGTGGACATAGTCATCGCTCCACCTCTCCATAAGACTTTACATGTGCGTGTGTTCGCCCGTTTCAATAAGCAGATTTCGTTATTAGCCAAGTGGAACCTTTGGGCGCCATGTTGACTCCTGATGAGGGAGCAATATTAAGGGGATCTTGTGTTTTGTCGGAGAAGTGGTGAAGAATAGAAAGACACAAGCAGCAGGTGCGGGAACACAGAAAATATTTTTATTCTCCCAATGGGCAATACTATAAGAAGGATTACATTTTTTGTGTGAAGTCAATATGTCTGTTAGAAGAAGAAGAAGAAGAAGAAGAAGAAGAAGAAGAAGAAGAATCAATGAATGCAGCAGAAAAAGTAAGAGAAGAAATAAAGTAATGGATGAAACGAGAATGACATATAAATAAATTAGAAGAAAAAGAAGAGGAAAAAGAAAAACAAGAAACATGGAATGAGTATTAAACAGTAAATGCAACGGAATAAATAGAAGGATAACATAGGAAATGCAATAAAAAAAAAAGAAGAAGAAGAAGAAGAAGAAGAAGAAGATGATGTTGATGAAGAAAAGGAAGGTGAAGAAAAAGAAGAATGAATGAATGAAAATTATTAAAAGAAAGAAAAACATCAAACGCGGTTGAAATATAAATACGACATAAGAAGACAAAAAGAAGGGTGATAAAGTAAATGATATAGAAGAAGAAAATGAAGGTGAAAAATGAAGAAGAAAAATGATCCGAAACTGATTGAAAAATAAATGTGATAGAAGAACAGAACAGAACAGAGAAAGAAACAGAAGAATGATACAATACTAAATGCTATAAAGGATGCAGAAAATGAATGAATATATATATATATATATATATATATATATATATATATATATATATATGTATATATAAGCAAGTGTAAATGGATATAAATCCGACAGAATGAAGAAATTTTGAAAAAAACAAACAAAAATTACATATACTCTCTATTCTAAAAATTATATTGAGGTCTCTTTTGTGGTTAAGATTTAATATTTTATATTATAAGTATTTACTTGGATTACTTACCACGGATTTTTTTACCTGTCTTATATATATATATCGACATTTCTTTCATTTTAACTACATTTAAGGATTTTTGTTTGTTTTTTTCAAAATTTCTTCATATGTATGTATGTATGTATATGTATGTATGTATACGCAATAGAAGTAGGAGGAAATGAAGAAGGATGAAATAATAAATGAAGAAGAAGAAAAGCAGAAAATAATGAAGAAGATGAAAGTTTCAGTAAGGATTAAATAATAAATATGACAGAAAAAACATATTAGAAAAAGAATTTAAGATGTCTAAAATGGTACATGCATTGCAAGAAGAAGAAAAATGAATGAATGTCATTGAAAAAGAAGTAGAGGTAAAAAAGGGAGAAAAGAATTATTAAACGTGAAATATATATATATATATATATATATATATATATATATATATATATATATATATATATATATATATATATATATATATATATATATATATATATATATATATAGGAGAAGGGATAAAAGAAGATAAAGAAGATGAAGTAATAACGAAGAAGTAGAAAAAGATAAATTGAATGAGGATTAAACAGTAAATACAACAGAAGAAAAAGAAGCATAAAATAGGAAAAGTAATAAAATAATAATAATAATAATAAGAAGAAGAAGAAGAAGAATGAATGAATGAATGAATTCATTTATTCATTCATTCACTCTTTCATGCTATAATAAAGGAGAAAAATAAAGTAGTTCAAACGAAAATGAAATATAAAATAAAAGAAGGGGAAAGAAAAAATGAGATTATAAATGCAATAGAAGAAGAAGAAGAAGAAAAGAAGAAGAAAAGAAGAAGAAGAAAAAAAAAGAAGAAGAAAGATAGAATAATAAATGCAACAGAAGAACACAAAAGAAAAAGACAAAATAAAAGAATTATTAAAATAGTAAATACAATGCAGATAAAGAATATAGGCAGGAGGTTACATTGATAATGATATATGAAAGAAGGCATTCACAGACGATCATTTTTAACCGGTGGGCTGAGGTTCGTCTTTACAGACACACACATTCCTTTACTATGTTAGTTATTTGACTGAGTCATGTTTGGCATAAGTTCATTTTTCAAATACGAACACGGGAACAATGAATTATCTGTCAAAGAATTTCAAGTCTATTCACTCTAGTTCACTTTGTATTTCAACACCCTGTCAGATTAACGCGTTTAACTAATGAGAACAGACTTGATCACTTTCATCATCTCAGCGAGATGACACATACCATCCCGATAATTGTGATTTGGCAAACCCTCCGAAGAAAAAAAATCATTCGCTATGTCTTACACACATTCTAAATACTCATACACATACACAGATATACGGGACTTTTGTTATGGTAGTTAAAGTACAAAGAGTAAAGCCGCTTGGCACAGATTAATCTTGAACTCTATCGCGCATACATAAAAGGTTATAATGTTGTCGCTCACTTCCGTTGCTTATCGCAGTGCTTGGAAGGAAAGCGTGTAGAGCGTGGTTGCCCCACCACACCACAGAGATTCCATCAGTGACAATGACTCATGTAACAGTTTTGGCCCAAGGATAAAAATTCCTCAGGTCCGACAAGCACCATATTCCCAAGTTCTCACCGCTTTCGATTTTTTTTCCTCTTCAAAGATCAAATCCCACTTGAAAGTGACAAGGTTTCAAGACGTCGAGGAAAACAAAAGAAAATACGACGAGGAAGCTGCTCGCTTTCCCAAAATAAAGGAGTCCCAAGAATGCTTCCATCAATGGAAACGGCGCTGGATATGACTTCAGAAGGGAGCTACTTCGAATGGAGATAAAATGCCGAAGTGATATCTGTTGTAGTACCGATACTTTTTGATAAGACCTCGTATATATATATATATATATATATATATATATATATATATATTAAAAGTATTTCTGTCGTGCAAGAGTGAGGTTTAAGTGGAACTTTTGTTCCTATTGGGAGGGGAATTTTAAATGATTATTTCTTATAAGTAAACGGCTAACATTAACATTACCATTATTATATACACTTTATATTAATATATATTTTTTTTTACAGGGACATTCGTAACAATTTATTTTTCTTAATAAGTTTTGGCATATAGTCAAACGTATTTCATTTAGTTTCTTTCATTTTTTATCACTTTTCTTATTAAATATCCCACATTGTAATAGTGAAAGATCAGCCAAGAAAGGTGAAATGTTGTAAGACCCTGGATGTAAATTTACTATGGATGATCTAGCGATCAAAGCACTTTCTATACAATTTCTTCTTTTCTCTTAATTATAGTTTGATATATATATATATATATATATATATATATATATATATATATATATATAAATTATATATTGTTTTCCCATAGATATATAAAAATTTACTTAACACAACCTTTCGGTCGTTATGCTCCCCGGCCTTCACCAAGTTCATGTTGATCCGCGTAACTTCGAATTGAACTCTTTGTTTAATCTACGGGTTACATTTTTTTCTCGTTCCACTGAACATGTTTACGGATATCTTGTCTGGTTCTTACTTTTAGTACAGCTCAGTTATTCTTACAGGGCGTCTACTCAAACATGGGTCTCTACCAATACTTTTGTGGTAGTAGGAAATAACGTTGGATAAAAAATCCCTTGATTCTTGATAAATTAGTTTGTTTACATTTCGGATAAGAAAATAATGATTTTACAATGATGTTCACCCTGTACATGGCTCAAGAGCCACACGATGCAGAGAGTTACAGAGATAGCTTATGCGGATATTTTTAATCATTTCACCCCAAGCAAGAAAAGTATAAAAGATGAACGGGCAACAGAAGATGGTGATTGATATTACATTTAAATTTTTGAAGATTGTAGTTATCAGGGAAGCCAGTAAGAGGAAGGGAGTTCCACTGATTGGAAGAGCAAGAAAGGAAACTGTTGGAGTAGAAGTGGCGGTTACATGCAGCTATATCAACAGTAAAAGAGTGGGACATGGATGCCAATATAGTAGTACGCTTAAATTTACGTAGTCGGGGCGTAAGGGGAAAAAAGCTCGTCAGAGCAATTGCCATGAAAATATTTATAGAAAAATCAAACGGAAGCCACATCACGTCGGCTAGAAAGTCACTGAAGTTGAGATGCGAAGTCAGGATGTGCGGAAGATAACGGTTAACCTTAGACTTGAATAGTTTAAGATTGCAGATAATCGGAAAAGCATCCTTTTACAAGTCAGTTCCACAAAGCAGCGGCTCGTTGGGTAAAAAGCTGTTTGAGTAGAACATACTTCTCGCCAAATATGGAGGAAATGAGGCTGGTTCACTACAATGGCTGTTTCTTAATGCCGTGCTGGTTAGAACTGATGAAACAAACGTAAGAATGGCGATAGAGTAGCGAATAGTTTGCGACGTTTCACCTGTGGGAAAGTGGTTGTGTGGTGGAAAATAAATTATCACCCACAAGGACGCGGGGACGCTTTTGGATTCGATCGAAACTGGAAAGTAATGACGGTACAGCTCCAGCCCATATATGGCAACAGAAAACCCATTTTCGGCTTGATCTGACTCTTGTATAGGTATAGAATAATAGGAGGAAACAGGTAAGTACAGGAGCGTTACAAGGAACCGATCATTTTCCCAGCATCATTAGAGGAGGATCATAAATGCAATTTCTACTTGAGGAAGAACAATTCAACGAACACAAGAGGACCAAGGAAAATAACGAAGGTATATTAACGAAATAATAATACAAGATGTGGAAGGTGTTAGTATGACTGTCAGTCTGGTTTGGAGTGAACTACTATCGGCTCGACTCGATTCGGTATCTAGCCACCCACCCCACCACGAGGGTTGCATGTGGCACAAGGACGAGTTTAACGTGGGTTTCCCGAGCCCTTAGACTCGGCGAAAAAAAGCCCGTAGAACCCGTATAAACAGGATCGGGTTGGTCAACCTCCCCGAACGAGACTCTGCCCTTCGGCGGAGCCTCGTCCGGGTTCCTCTCTGCTCAGAGGCAGAGAGTTCGACCGTCAAGCCGAGAAGCTCGGCTTGATTCGGTATCTAGCCACCCCCCCACGAGGGTTGCATGTGGCACAAGGCCGAGTTTAACGTGGGTTTCCCGAGCCCGTAGGCTCGGCCAAAAAAATGCCCGTAGAACCCGTATAAACGGGATCGGGTTGGTCAACCTCCCCGAACGAGATTCTGCCCTTCGGCGGAGCCTCGTCCGGGTTCCTCTCTGCTCAGAGGCAGAGAGTTCGACCGTCAAGCCGAGAAGCTCGGCTTGATTCAATATCTAGCCACCCCCCCACGAGGGTTGCATGTGACACAGGGCCGATTTTTATCGTGGGTTTCCCTGAGCCCGTAGGCTCTAAAAAAAAATGCCCGTAGAACCCGTATAAACGGAGATCGGGTTGGTCATTTCCCCGAACGAGATTCTGCCCTTCGGCGGAACCTCGTCCGGGTTCCTTTCTGCTCAAAAGGCAGAGAGTTCGACCGTCAAGTCGAGAAGCTCGGCTTTGATTCGGTATCTAGCCACCACCCCCCACGAGGGTTGCATGTGACACAAGGTCGATTTTTATCGTGGGTTTCCCTGAGCCCGTAGGCTCGGCAAAAAAATATGCCCGTAGAACCCGTATAAACGAGATCGGGGTTGGTCATTCACCCCGAACGAGATTCTGCCCTTCGGCGGAACCTCGTCCGGGTTCCTTTTCTGCTCAAAGGCAGAGAGTTCGACCGTCAAGTCGAAAATTATCGGCTTGAATTCAGTATCTAGCCACCCCCCCACGAGGGTTGCATGCGACACAAGGTCATTTTTATCGTGGGTTTCCTGAGCCCGTAGGCTCAGCCAAAAAATGCCCGTATAACTCGTAAAAAACGAGATAGGGTAGGTCATTCACCCCGAACGAGATTCTGCCCTTCGGCGGAACCTCGTCCGGGTTCCTTTCTGCAAAAAAAAGCAGAGAGTTCGACCGTCAAGTCGAGAAGCTCGGCTTGAATCGGTATCTAACTGAGAG